TCACTCACTCACTCACTGACTCACTGACTCACTGACTCACTCACTGACTGAGTCACTCATTCACTCACTGACTCACTGACTCACTGAGTCACTCATTCACTCACTGACTCACTCATTCACTCATTCACTCACTGACTTCTGAGGAGTGACTTGATTGACAGCCTCTCCTGTGGTAGGTCGAAGGAGCTGATCAAAGACGCCATCTTGGACAACGACTTCATGAAGAACCTGGAGCTGTCTCAGATCCAGGAGATCGTGGACTGCATGTCCCCGGTGGATTATGGTAAAGACGCGTGCATCATCAAAGAGGGCGACGTGGGCTCGCTTGTTTTCGTCATGGAAGGTGAGAAGACGACTTTCTCAAAGGTTTTAACTTCAACTTGATTTTCTTACACTGGCTCTGTTGTTTCCATAGTTACAGTTTATTTTCATATTTTTAAACTTACCTTTGTTGTTCTGTTTGTTTTCATGTTGAGACTTTGATCTTCATCAGGATTTTGTTTTTTCTGAGTCAGTTTCAGTTTGTTGTTTTTTGTCTTTTTTGGTTTTTCATGTTAATGAATATGTTAAATGTTTATTTGACTGGAACTTGTTCTGGTTAGATTAAACATTTTTGTTGTTGTCATGTTTTATGACTTGAACATGAGGTTTTTAATTTGAAAGATTCTGGATCTTGAGGCCTGTTAGACTTTTACTTTGAAGGATCTTTATTGAACTAAAAAGTGTCTTTGAGGCTTTAACAGGAAATAGTTGAACTGTAACTTGTGTTCATTCAGCAAGTTGAGACGTGTCACTCGGTGAACTAGAAACTGAAGCCTTTTCTTTTTACTGAGCAACACCTTCAAGTTTTTTGGAGATGAAACAGGAAGTTTCCTGGAGCTCAGTCCGACATTGAGGACTCAGTTTCTCAGACGCTGCTCGTGGTCCAGGAACAAGTGCGACTGGTGACGCTGCGTTAGCTTAGAACCCCTGAAGCTCGTTTCCAGGTTCAAACTGTTTCTTTGAGTTTTGATAAGAAATAAATATCTGAACTTTGAAGAAACACTTTTGAAAACGAGTTGTTTTTAATATAAAGACTGTCACATGTTAAACGTGTTTAATGTGTCAAATGTGTTAAACGTGTTGACGTGTTTACCTGAGGTCACCTCAGGTCGGCCCATCAGACCATCAGTCTGCATCTTTCAGGAGGTTTTGAGAATCTTTGTCTCTGTGGTTCTGGACTCACAATGGTCCAGATGGCCGCTCCTCTGTCAGTGGGAGGCAGCGTGTGAAGCAACCGATGACATTTATAAGAAAGACACTGGGCGGATCACACCTCGGCTGAACGTTCAAATGTGTGATTTTTGAACAGAGTCTGGTTTATGCAGAAAACACTGATGGACACAGAGTGTTTGTTCAACTGATAATAATGTGTGTGTGTGTGTGTGTGAGGGGGGTAAGTGGGTCAGTACTAAAATAGATATTACAACATGTCAGTGTCTCTAGTGGGCGGGTGAGCTTCAGACCTGAGTTAATGAACTAATTACTGTAAAAGAGACGATCATCAGTGTGATGACAACGACCTAAAGTGACTCAGATGTTGTGACAATGCTGCAACAGAAACGAGAGAAGAAGAGGAGTGCGTTTAAACTGTCGGAGGAAATGACACGAGAAGGAAAGCTCATTCATGATTGGATGATTTGATCAACATTTGTGTGTGTGTGTTGGAAGTGGGGAGGGGCGCAGATGGCATCTAAATATATTGACTTCTATTACAGGAAGAGGAAGTGATCCCTAAAAACAGACGAGGAAGATTGATAGATTGTGTGTGTGTGTGTGTGTGTGTGTGTTTTACATAATGAGACCAAACTGCTGCATCTGTTTCTTCCTCCACAGAATTAATGAGCATCATATTTATAACACACACAGTTTGATCCCTGAACACAAGCTCCTCTGAAAACCTCCTGAGCCGTTAAGGGGAGCTCTAAAAATCACAGATTATATTTTATTTTACCTGAAATAAAGAATAGTAAATAAGTTAATTCACTCATTACGTTCCATTTCCTGGACATCTGTCTCCACTAATTAACACAATTCAGTGTCTTTTCCTGCTGTGGACACACACGAGTGGCAGCGCCCAAATCACTGGTTTAAATATCCACCTGAACGTCTCATCACTGAGTTGGTGTGTGATATTTAAAACAGTGTTTTATTCACTATGCTGGTTTATGGATGAGTCAGAACGGAAACAAACAAGTGTCCATCAACAACACAGACAGCTGCTTTGACCGGTCCTCACTTTTATATGTAAACAAAGTGTGTCAGTATTGATCCTGCATATTATTGATCAATGTGTGTGTGTGTGTGTCCAAAACACTGAAAGCTACACTTCCCATCATGCACCTGGACAGTGTCTTACAAGCTGGGGGACAGCCACATTGTTAAACTTAAAAATCAGAAGTTGTTGTTTTATTTTGTTAATAAGAAATACTTCATTTTCTTTCTTATTCATGACTTCATGTTTTCTCTCTCTCTGTGCTCCACTGTGTGTGAATGTCTCTCATCCAGAGGGGAAGGTGGAGGTGACTAAAGAGGGGATGAAGTTGTGCACAATGGGGCCAGGAAAAGTATTTGGAGAACTCGCCATCCTCTACAACTGCACCCGCACTGCTACTGTCAGGAGTGAGTACACCTAGAGTGTGTGTGTGTGTGTGTGTGTGTGTGTGTGTGTGTGTGTGTGTGTGTGTGTGTGTGTGCGTGCGTGCGTGCGTGCGTGTGTGTGTGTGTGTTCCATCAATCAATAACATTTTATTTGTATTTACAAATCACAGTTTGTCTCAAAGATCTTAACAAGGTCATTGAGTGGGAATGTGCCCATATTATTCGCTGTCGCTGTTTACATTCACTCCATCACTGGTGACTTCAATCATGTCACACTGGACAGAACTTTAGTGAACTTTAACAGTGAGTTAACTGCCCCACAAGAGACAGTCAAACACGGGACCTTCTTTATGCAAATGCTCTTGATGCATACAGTGCCAATGTGGCCACGACCAGAGAGACTGTGGTCGACTTCAGGAGGAAGAGGAACGTTTCACAGCCACTGTGTATTCTGGGAGAGGAAGTTGTCACCGGGGAAGATTACAAGTACCTGGGCGTCCACATCGACAATGGATTGAAGTGAAGGCGGTCCTAGAAATTAGTTTTAAATAAAAACGAAATGACAAATCAGGATCAAAGATGACTCCCAAATTCCTGATGTTTCACTGGAAGCAAAGACGACATCATCTGTCACAGCGTCATCATTAGATAATGATCTCTGAGGTGTTTAGAGCCGAGTAAAGAACCTCTGAGTTTAATAACAGACAATTAAGTTTAGTTTCTTTCATTGATGACACTGTTATAGTTTTATTGACAAGTCTAACTGGGTGTCGCTGCATAGCAGTGGAAATTTACAGAGTGTGTCCTGATAGTGTTTCCTAGTGGAAGAATATATAATGAGAATAAAATTGGGCCGAGCACAGAACCCTGAGGAACACCGTGGTTAACTTTGGTGCGCACAGATGACTCATCATTAATTTGCACAAATTGGAATCAATCCGATAAGTAGAATTTAAACCAGTTTAGGGCGGTTCCTTTAACGCCAATGAACTGTTCTAGTGTCTGTAATAAAATGTGATGATCAATACTGTTGAATGCTGCACTGAGATCTAACAGCATGAGGACAGACACAAACATCTGAAGCTATGAGAAGGTCATTAGTGACTTTAAAACTGTCTCCATGCTGTGACGAGTTCGAAACCCCGACTGAAAGTCTTATATTACTTTCAGAGAAACTCTCACAGCTGATTGGCTCTAACCTTCTCAAGGATTTTAAACAGGAAGGGGAGGTTGGATATCGGTCTGTAGTTGGTTAAAACCCCTGGGTCCAGATTATAATGATAGATTGATTATATTCAGTAAAGTACTTTTTAGTGGGGGTAGAATTTCTTAAATAACTTTGTAGGAATGAGATCTAAGATACAAGTTTTAGATGATGAGATTATTGAGGTCGGCTGATCAAGAGTGATCAGAGAGAAGCTGTTTAGATAAATAACAGGATTCTTAGCTTTCCTGAGATTTGTGTGAAACGGCAAAACAGACACAACAAGCTGAATACTTCTTCTCATTTAATAAACTGGTATTTTTCCCCTAGAGGATGAACCATCTCCTCATGGAACTCTTAAGGGTTAAGAGTTATTAATGGAACTCAGACCAACCTGCTGCCGTCAGCCATCAACATCAAGAATCAAGACCTCAGATCTTTTCAACCCAAGAGTTTGACCTCACCGTCTTTAGATAAAAACATTCCTCATAATTGGCTCTAAAGCAGCAGCTGGAAGATTTTCCTTCAGTAAAAACTGCAGCTTCATTAACTGTTTGACGTCCACACAGCCGCAGGAAACTGATTTGAGTTCAGGAGAAAAGACGAAACAGGTGTGTGGGAAGAGTGGGAGGAAGGAGGCTGCAGTCAGAACAAGTAAAACATCAACCTCAACTCTAACTGTGTGTGTGTGTGTGTGTGTGTGTGTGTGTGTGTGTGTGTGTGCACATATTTTTCTGTGTACCCCAACTTTTTTCAGGGTTTCCTGGTAGAGTGCTTGTTAAGCAGTGGTTGCTAGGCAACACCATCAGTTTTGGCATCAGTGTCTCTCAGCAACAGCGCTAGGTTCAAGGGATCAGTTTGGTTTGCTGAAGCTTTTGCTCGTTATCTTCACATTAACAGCTGCAGTTTATCTGCTTTATTCTGTGCGTGTTCACGTTAACTCAGAGCAGTCAGTGCTCCACGGCTGCATGTGAACAATAAAACTCTGCTGCTGTGGCATCAAACCTGCAGCTGTTTCTTAAAAAGGGGGAGATTCCTGAAAGGTTTGGTCGGAAATCATAAAATCAACAGTTTAAGGTTTAAGGTGTCGAGATGAGGTTTAAAAAGGGAGGAAGTGAACTAACAGGAACAAACCAGAGATGAATTATTGATGAAGCAAAGCAATTATCACACTGGAGGGCACAGAGTCAGTCGACTGAAAGAAAGTAAACATATCTACTTTTTAAACTTGAATACGTTACATTTCAAAATAGTCATAGCAGTCGTGTTAGCAGCTGTGGTAGCAGCAGTGATAGTATTTGCTGTAGCTTCAGTATTTTTCAGTACTTTTTATAAAATCTGGACTTTAGTGAGGACACATTTTGACTCTAAACCCTGGTTGTGATTTTGAATCCTCAC